CTCCTGCTAAAAGCCCATAATACTGTTGACAAAAGAATGTCCAGCCTAAGAAAAAGTTATGAGTTTACTTGAGCCAAAGTAACAATTGCCAGGAAGCAAAAATCTCAACGGATCAAGAAAATGCTCCAGAGAATGGCAGTTTTACAGCTTATTTTATACACTAAAATCAAAGGGGCTATTTGAAATCCATTGGTGGTAGATTAGGTCGGCAGGAGGAAGCAAAGTGGGGAAATCTCTGAGACTGGATAAAAAGTAAAACCAGAGAGACACTACTTTTACAGCACATAGAGATGGTATATGGGCAACAAGATAGCAATGAAGGGCCTGCTGGTTTGGCTCAATGGATAGAGCATCGGCCCACGGACTCAATTCTGGTCAATGGCACATACCCTGGCACCCTGGTCGGGGACTTGCGGAAGGCAGCCAATCAATGTCTCTCACACAGATGTTTCTCTCTCTCTCTGCTTCTCCCCCTCCCTTCCACTTTCCCTAAAAATCAATAGAAAAATATCCTCAGGTGAGGATTAACAAAAAACAAACAAAAAACTATGAGGGTTCTATGGTCTCCTGCTCTTGTGGGAGACTGTCCCCTGATGGGTCTGAAATTCCAAAGGTCTGTTATCTTAGATGCAAAAAGACAATAGATGGGCTCACTTAAAGATTGACCTTTGTCAAGGAAGCTTTCAGCACAGAATGAGACCCACTATAACTGCTTTTAGTTAGGAAGTTTTAATTTCAGACCATCCTATGTGGTTACTTTAGGTCTCTGAGTTTGCAAGGCCCACCATGCAGGCCACCCCCGAGCTTATCAGATTTAATATGTGGCCCTCTTCTCATCCACAATACCTAACCTAGATTTAATACCTGATCTAACTGCTGTTTCAACTGTTGACGTAAGAAACATTAAAACCTGTAGAGAATTCTGCACAGCAAAAGAAACCATCAACAAAACAACGAGAAAACCCACTGTGTGGGAAACCATATTTGCCAATGTCATATCTGATAAGGGCCTAATCTCCAAAATTTATAGGGAACTCATACAACTTAACAAGAGGAAGATAAACAATCCAATCAAAAACTGGGCAAAGGACCTAAATAGACACCTTTCAAAAGAGGACATTCAGAAAGCCAAGAGACATATGAAAACATGCTCAAAGTCACTAATCATCCGAGAGATGCAAATCAAAACAACAATGAGGTACCATCTCACACCTGTCAGACTGGCTATCATCAACAAATCAACAAACGACAAGTGCTGGAGAGGATGTGGAGAAAAAGGAACACTTGTGCACTGCTGGTGGGAATGCAGACTGGTGCAGCCACTATGGAAGACAGTATGGAGTTTCCTTAAAAAACTGAAAATGGAACTCCCATTTGACCCTGTGATCCCACTTCTAGGAATATATCCCAAGAAACCAGAAACACCAATCAGAAAGGATAGATGCACCCCTATGTTCATAGCAGCACAATTCACCATAGCTAAGATCTGGAAACAGCCTAAGTGCCCATCAGTAGATGAATGGATCAGAAAACTGTGGTACATCTACACGATGGAATACTATGCTGCTCTAAAAAGGAAGGAACTCTTACCATTTGCAACGTCATGGATGGAACTGGAGAGCATTATGCTAAGTGAAATAAGCCAGTCAATGAAGGAAAAATACCACATTATCTCACTCATTCATGGATAATAGAGACCATTATAAACTTTTGAACAATAATAGATACAGAGGCAGATCTGCCTCTGATTGTCAAACTGCAGCGGGAAGGCCGGGGAGGGTTGGGGGGCAGGAGGTAGAGGGGTAAGAGATCAACTAAAGGACTTGTATGCATGCATATAAGCATAACCAATGGACATAAGACACTGGGGGATAGGGGAGGCTAGGGGACTGTCTAGGGCGGGGGGATAAAATGGACACATATGTAATACCCTTTGTAATACTTTAAGCAATAAATTAAAAAAATAAAATAAAATAAAATAAAAATTTTTAAAAAAAACACAAACCTGTAGAGACTTTCTTGCCCTGGTGGGTTAGCTCAGTTGGTTAGAGCATCATCCGTACACCAAGGTTCTGGGTTTGATCCCTGATCATGACACATAAAAGAATCAAACAATGAATGCATAAATAAGCAGAACAACAAATTGATGTTTCTTTCTCTTGTTCTCTCTCAAATCAATCAATAAAAAAACAAATCTGTAGATAATTTGTATAAGAGTTTATTTGAGCAGAACTGACAACATATGCTGGGGAACAAGATCTCAAATGCTCCTCAGAATAAGTTTCCAGTTTCTTTTATGCATTTGATAGTAAGGAGGGAAAGTAAAGAATACATAAATGCGGGAGAAAGCAAGGCAGAGATCAGATTACAGGATAGTTAACAAGATTATGTGCTCTCTCTTTTAAAAAAAAGGTTAAATCTTTTTTGTTGAAAGTAGGTCCCATTCCCCACCCCCCATTGATCCCTTCTAGCCCGCCCCCACGCTCCACCCCAAGCCTTCACCACCCTATTGTCTGAGTCCATGGGTTATGTGCTCTCTTGAGGGCAGTCATGTATTAGAAGGGGTGATCTGAAATGAGGCATTTCAAAAATGTGTTAATCTAGATGCACAAAAACAATGGATAGGGCTGGCTTAAGGCAAAGATAACCCTTTTACTAAAATACTTATATGTCTGGGGCGTGACTACTTACCATGACCTGCTCAGTTAGGAATTTATGATCTGATCACCCTGTGAAGTTACTGTCCATAAAACCACTTTTCATCCACACAACTTCTCACAGAAACATAATCTTAATCAACCAGTATGGGATTTCCTGGGTTTCCAGGTCAAGAAACAATAACATAATCTGTCACATAGGTCCTCTCCATCCCCCCTAGAAAGAAGAGACAATCTATATAATAAAAACTCTTCCTTCCTCTTCCCCCAAAGAAAAGATGTCCTGGCCCAAAAATAATCCTTTCTTTTCTTTCACTAATAGCTCCCTTGCCCCACCCTTCTTCCTATAAAATCCTTCCATTTTGTACAACTTCTCGGAGAACGCTTCTAGTTGCTAGATGGGATGCTGGTTTGTGAATGGCTTAATAAAGGTCTTCAAATTTACTCAGTTGAACTGTTTTTTTTTAACAATTTGTAACCCTACCAGGCCGGGGGTGGGGGGGTGGGGGAGGGCTCTTCAAGGGCTGACACCAAAGTATCTACTTAAATAGTTCTCCGGAAAGTAACCTCACAGGGTGATCTGATCATAAATTCCTAACAAAGCAGGTCATGGTGGGTAGTCACGACCCAGGCATGTAACTTCTTTAGTAAAAGGCTTATCTCTGCGGTAAGCCAGCCCTGTCCATTGTCTCTGTGCATACAGGGTAACACACCTTGGAAATGTTCCCTTTCAGACCCCTCCTTCTGATATGTGCAGTGATCGTATCCCTACCTTGCTCTCCCCCACCTTTATGTAATCATCCTTACTTCCCCTCATTAATCTCAAATGCATAAAAGAAATTGTAAACTGTTATTCTCAGGAGCATTTGAGATCTTCCTTCCTGGCATATGTTATCAGTTTGGTGCAAATAAACTCAATAAAAATTCTCTACATGTTTGGATGTTTCTTAAATTGACAGGAAATTGGCAAACCGGTGACCCATGGCCCAAATCTGATCCACGGGTGAGTGCGTGACGTCTTTATTTTTTAATTGACAAAATCTACATACATAAAATCAAGCATTTAAAAGTGTACAGTGCAGCCGAAACCGGTTTGGCTCAGTGGATAGAGCATCGGCCTGCGGACTGAAAGGTCCCAGGTTCGATTCCGGTCAAGGGCATGTACCTGGGTTGCGGGCACATCCCTAGTGGGAGATGTGCAGGAGGCAGCTGATCAATGTTTCTCTCTCATTGGTGTTTCTAATTCTCTATCTCTCTCCCTTCCTCTCTGTAAAAAATCAATAAAATATATTTAAAAAATAAAAAAAATAAAAGTGTACAGTGCAATGACTTTTAGTACATCCACAATGCTGTGCAACCACCACCTCTGGATTTTCCTCCTCCCACAAAGGAAACCCCATACCTTTCAAGCAGTCACTCATTTCTCTCTCTACAAGCCCCTGGCACTAACTGCTTTCTGTCTGTGTGGATTTCCCTGCTCCTTATATGTGGAATCACACGGGTGGCCTTTTATGTCTGATTTCTTTCACCTAGCATAATTTTTTGGAGGCTCATTCGCTGGAGGGGCCGCTGGAGGGGCCGGCAGCGGGTTACGCTGCTCTCCGCAATCGCTGCAAACTCGCTTTGTATCCATGCATGTATCAGCACTTCATTCCTTTTGAATAATGTTCCATCGTATGGATATACCACAATGTGTTTATCCATTCATCAAGTGGACAACTTGAACTATGTCCACCTTTTGGCTATTATGAATAGTCCTGCCACACACATTGGTGTACAGGTACTTGTTTGAGTCCCTGTTTTCAATTTTTGGGAGTATATACCTAGGAGTGTAATTGCTGGGTCGGAAGGTGACTTTCACTTTTGAGGAAGACACAGGTGTTTAATATTTTTCAACCTGAATGCCTTTAGGTATCCATTTCTGCCTCTGTCTCCATTTCTTCTACTGTCTTCCATCCAAGTGTTCGACTCAAATTGTTTGGTTCCTGAAGGCATCTGGATTTGCTGGATTTCCACCTCTCGGGAGCACTATCTTGCTCAGCCTCCAAAGGGGATAATATTTACCTAAGAGAACATGGCGAGGATCAGGGAGGTGATGGACTGAACGCGCCTCTTCCGAAGCTGCTCTGGCGAGAGACCGCGAAGACAGGAGGAGGAGGAGCGGGGCAGGCGGAGCGCGCTTTGGGGGCGTCGTCCGCGCTCGGGGAAGCGGACCAGCCGGGGTCCGAGCGGGCGGGCACAGAGCGGCGCCGCGCAGGGCGCAGCCGGCAGGGGGCCCGTGGGGCCGGGGCGGGGCTCAGGTTGGCCGGCAGTGGGCGGGGGTGGCCCCTCGTCCCCTCCCCTCGCCTCCCGAGGCCCCGGCCACGCTTTGGGCTGGCGGCGCGCGGGTGAGTCAGGCCGGGTTTTCCCTCCGCCTCTGGGGCATGCGAGCCAGCGCCACCGAGCGCGTCCCTCCCTCGTCAATCCGGCTCCGGCGCCCGCCCGCGTTTTCCCGACGCCTGGCACCCAGCCGCTCCGGCCGGGCTCGCAGTCTCCGCAGGACCGGCGCCCTGGAGGGAGGGTTCAAATCCGCGCGAGGGAAGTGCAGCGCGCGAGGGGTGCGGAGCGGTGCCAGCATGGTAAGTGGGGCGCGCCAGGGGCCGGGGCTGGACTCGGGGGGTGGGGCTGTTCGCGAGGTCTTCCTTTCCCGGCGACCTTGGCCAAGCCTCAGCCCCGCCGGCCGAGGTCTCCGTCTAAGTGGGTGGGGGTGCCCGGGTGCGGTGTCCGCCCAGGTGTCCCCTGGTCCGGGGACCGAGGCTCTGAGGCTCGGGATCGGGGACCCACCCACACGCTCCGCTGGCGGGGCCGGTAGCAGGTTACGCTGCTCCCCGCAATCCCCGCGAACGCGCTTTCCATGAATCGGCGTTCGGGACCCCTGTGCCGCGGCTCGGGTGGGGCAGATGCCCTTGGCAAGGGAGCCTGACCTCGGCCTCTGTCTCCCAGCCCCACCGCTCCGGGCGGGCCCCAGGACGGCGTCAGGAAGAGACTGCCCCTCCCGTCCCCCAGGTAGTTAAATGACGCCCCGCAGTTCTGGGGAGCCCTAGCCCGCCTCTGCCAAAGCTTTCCCGGGGCAAATTCCGAAAGGATGCCTACCTCGTTTGCCTCTCCTTCCCCAGGAGACCCCTCTCCCGCCCCCTCCGCAATACCCGCTTCGTCCTTCAACCCCTCTGCCCTGTACAGGCGTAAGCTGCCAGCCTTTCTCCTGGGCCCCCAACCAGGGATGCTCCCACGTCTTGGCGGCCAGAGCCACGACACAACCTTTGGCCAAAGTGAGGGCTGGTCTAGGGCCAGCCGAAATCGGGGTTCTGGCTGTGTTCAGAAATAGAACTGGGACCCGTCTTTCACGGGGCACCACTCTCCCCCAAGAACAGATTGGGGTTCTCCTTTGCATCAGGGGCTGAGCCTGGCTGTCCCTCTGCCTTGGCCACCATGCCTTCTCCCTGCTTGGCCTGGGGAGGAGGCAGAAGCAGAGAGATCACCGTCCTGGACTAGGTGATGAGCCTCCTCCCAGGGCCCTCCTGGGCAGGGCTCTTGTGCTGGCTGGCTGTGTGTGGGTGTGTATGTGCCAGACTGTGAATGAATTCGACCAGCCTGCTCCCACTACCGCCCCTAGAGCCAGCAGCTTCCAGGGCTAGAAGTCCCCAAGCAGCAGTGCTGCCACTATTTCTTCCTGATCCAGGGGCAGGCCAGAGGGATTCCAGGCTAAGGGGACTGGAATCCAACCCAGTATGGTTGCACAAGCCCTTGGGAGAAGCAGCTTTGGGGGCTGGGCAGACATGCATACCCAGCAGTGAGTGCCCATGGGGGGCAGTGGGGACCCCTGGCTGGGATAGCCTGATGCAGTGCTGAGGACTTTGCCCAGGGAGTTGGGATGGCTGTCGCTGTGGGTTCTTGGGCAACTTGCTTCCTCTTTCTGGGCCTCAGTTTCCCTGTCTGTAAAATGGAGTGACAGTAACTGCTACTCTGCCTGTCCTCACGAGGCTTTCATGGAGATGAGATGATGGAATGAAAGGGCTGAAGAAAACTGTAGAGTCCCGTGCAACTGTAAGACGAAGCATCACTCCTGCCGGGGTTGGACTGTGCCTCTTCAAGTGTTGCAGGGTGTCCAGGGTATGCCCCCTTCCTGGCCCCTCCGCATCCACTGCCCCCTCTTTTGGAACAGGGACATTCCAGTCCCATTCCTCAGGGGCAGCTGCAGACACACCCCTCAGCAAAACTGATTCCCCAGCAGGTGGTGGTTCACCCCCCTCCACACCCCCCCGTGATGGGCTGTCAGGGCTCAGGAGGGGCTGATGCAGCAGAGTTAGGAGTGGAGCTTCCTGCCCACTTGGCTCTGGAATGTCCCACCCAGAGGAGATGCATGGTGGGGAGCCTGTCAATTACTTCCTCCTGTGCAGCTGAGCATGACCTTAGGCACGTTATTTCAACTGCTGGGCCTCAGTTTTCTCTTCTGAAGGGGGGTTGACACTATCCCCTCCTGTGCGTGTTGTGAGCCTATGGTAGGCCCTGTGTCAGGCTGACCCACCAAGGCACCCACTAAATGATGCCAGGATGCCTCCTTGATGTTCTGTCTCTGCTCCATCGCCAGGTGGTCCCCCAGGCCCATTCTCCTGGCTCCACCAAGGGTGGTCCAAAAGAGATATCCCTCTGTGTTCAGGACTTCCAGTCTGCTGGCTAATCTTGGGGCCAGGGGATGGGAGAAGTAAAGGCCCTGTTGGGGCCACCTGGGGCCTGTGCAGAAGGTCCGGCCCAAACCTAACCTGTAGGGTTATGGGGAGCTTTCAGCTCTGGGCAGATCTCTGGGCCCCAGAGCAAGCAAGCCCAGGCATTTAGAGGCATCTGGCTTTAGGCTCTGATCCCTCCCCAGTTGCTGTCTCTCCCCCACTTCCCCACCAAATCCTCTCCAGCCCACAGCTGTCCTGTTCTGATCAGGCCAGTCCCTGGGCTTCCAAGCAACAGGAAGGTGTGTGTGTTGCGGGTAGGCAGGGGAGGTGGAGGGACCGTTCGTTCTAGGAAAAGGTACTAGCTGGTAATGCAGCCAGAGAAGTTACTTAAGAGGGGTGGAGGGTGGGGGCCTTAAAGAAAGACAAAGGAAAGGGGCTGTCTGTGCCTCTTCCTCCAGCTCCATAGCTGTTTCTAATTGCTCAAGTCACTTGTGGAGGGAAGCTGGCCTCATGCCTCCCTCACCACCTTCCAACCCCCCCCCCCCCCATCTAGCCTCTGGGCAGGGAACTAGATGGTCTCTCCTGCAGAGGAATTCCTGTATTATTATGTATATGTGTCCCAGAGAGAGTAGTTCAATGCCGTGTGGGTGACCTTGAGCGTGACTGTCTGCTGTTGGACTCTCCTCACTGTGTCCTCTAATATAGGAGCCTCTGTGCTACTGGTGGCACTGGCTGGACTGCAGTATAAGAGTGGCTGGCATATATGCTGTTATGGCCATGTCTGCCTCTCTAGACCTGAGACTCCTTGTGGGGCTCAGGGGATGTCAGTTATTGCTCCTTGAGACAGGAAGTGAGGATCTGCCAAAGGGAAGGTGAGATGGTGTGTATTTGGGATGAAGTGAGCTTATTTGGCATCACTGTCACCATCGTCCATTGTCATCTCCCTCCCCCCGCCCTCCCCTTGTTGCACTGGGTTTACAGTTCACAAGACCTTTTGCCTCTGTTGTGTCTGTGACTGTCACAGTGATCTCATAAGGAAGGCAGGGAAGGCAGGGTCTTTCTCCCCTTCAGAGATGGGGAGACTGAGGCATGGTGAAGAGAGGTGCCCCGTGGAGAAACAGTGTGAGAGCAGGGCAGGAGACCAGCTTGTCTGCTGTCCCACCTCCCTGACAGGAGTTCAGTGCCCTCTCAGACACAGCGGTACCTGTGGCCCAGTGGGTTTGTTGTGGTGAAGGGTGTCAGATTGGGAGATCGATGCTTCCATTCCGCCTCTTTGGGCCATGGGTGACATCCTTGGCCGTTTGGCAGCCATGGTGCTGGTTCACCGGTGCCCTCACCCTGGCCAGCTCTGTGCCCTTGGGCAAACCATTTCACCTTTCAGAGCCCTAGTGTCCTTACCTAAAAAATAGAGAGGACCTAGGTCACAGGACTCAGTGAGACCCCTGCGTCGCTGTAGGTGCTTAGCACTTGTGATTCCTTACCTGGGTGAGTCCCCGGACCCTGTGTGGCCTATGACACCCCAGGAGGTGTTGAGGAAACTGGGGCCTGAGAGGGAAGGGTTGGGAAGGGTACTTTTTCCCAGGGTGAGGTGGAGGGCCACACGGTGAGGGGGCAGGGCTGAACCCTCCTTCCCTTTTACTCCTAGAGAGCTTTGTCTCCCGCAAACACAAAACCTGGAAATGGTGGAGGAAGATGGAACCTCCTAACCACCATTGTTTAGGATGGGAGTGGGTGTCCCGGCAGCATATTGGGGAGGTTCTGGGGGACTCACAGCTGCAGCGTGCCTGCTGGGGTCTAACTGGGAATGGGAGCAGCTGGGGGGGAGGCAGAAAAGGTGGCATTGGTCCATCCGGCATGCTGAGCACTGGGCCTAGCACAGGGGATCCAGCCGGGCACTAGGGACAGGTCCCACCTCCACTGTGTGGTCCCAGCACAGGAGCCTAGTCACTGGGTCTCCCACCAGTAATGTTCATGTGTCTGACCAGCTCAGCTCTGCTCTGGTCAGCCTGTGTTGACCCTGGCTGCTGACTGGGTGCTTTGTTCTATTATCTTAGCCCATTCTCTAGGCATCCCTGAGTGATGAGTTGTCATGGCCATTGTACGCATGAGGAAGCTAGGCCCCCCCATGGTGACTGGCTCAATGCAGGGTCAAGATTTAGAGACACCCCTGCCCCCATCCTCACACCTGGTGGTGGGCTCTCTGGGGCATATGAAAGGGCTGGCAGGGGCTCCAGCTGCCCCTTCCCCTGCCTCTTACCATGGCCCAAGGTGAACACCTGTTCCGGAAACTGTGGCCATTGTTCCCTCCATCCTTCCTCCCCTCGGGCCCTTCCTGTTTGTATCCCTCCCACTGCCTGGTGCAGCCCCGCCCATGCCAGGTGCTTCCCTTGGGGAACTCACTCTCTGCAGGAAGAGGGCTGAACTGGGTTTCCCCTCTCCCAAGAAAAGAAGAAGGAATGGAGTATCTGAGGCGGCTGTGCCCTCTGCCTACTTTCCAAATTGTGGGGGGGGTGTCTAGCAGGAGAGTGAACAAGGTCAGAGTCAGACGGGCCTGAGTCCTCAGCTGGCCCAGTCCTGGGGAGGGTCCTATCCTGCTGTTTCAGTGCCTCCCCTCATCCATACCTCCCCCCGCCCAATCACACACCAGCTTCTAGCTGATGCTGGGGTACCGGGCAGGTGGCTTTAGGGCCTGTGCCCCTTCTTCTTGCCAGCCTAGGAATTCTGTGCTGCATTCTCTCCATATCCATATCTGCCTCTCCTGGGCCTGGGCCAGATGGGGACCTGACACAGAACAAGCACCTGGTTTTAGGGCATCAAGGGCGGGCGGGCAGCAAGCACCCACCTGCCCCTGATGGAGCCTCTTGATCTCTAGAAGCAGCTGCCTGTGCCGTGTTGAAACTTCATGGACACAGGCCCAGGCCCGGCTGGCATTGCCATGGGCAGCGTGGGCAGCCTGTTGGAACGGCAGGACTTCTCCCCTGAAGAGCTACGGGCAGCACTTGAGGGGTCCCGAGGCTCCCGCCAGCCTGATGGGCTCCTCCGGAAGGGCTTGGGCCAGCGTGAGCTCCTCAGCTACTTGCACCTCCCTAAGAAAGACGGCAAGACCACGAAGCGGGCTGCTCGGAATGAGCCTGCCGACTATGCCACCCTCTACTACCAGGAACATCCCCGGGCCGGTGACTTCAGCAAGACCTCGCTGCCCGAGCGGGGACGTTTTGACAAGGTGCACCTCTGCCCAAACCCCTCCCTGGGGTGGGAGGGTGGGATGGGAGCTTGGGGCCTCCTGGGAGACCTCGGCGCTGGGGCAGGGCTTGGACCTGAAAGTCCTGCTATGGACTAGCCTGGTCATTGCTTCCCAGTGGCAGGCACCCCGTGTCTGAAAGGACCCCCAGGGCTGCGGGAGCATCGTGGGGCAGTGCTGTTAGCTCAGGGCCTTACCCTGCCCTCTCTTCCTGGCAGTGCCGTATTCGCCCATCGGTGTTCAAGCCTGTGGCAGGCACCGGGAAAGGCTTCCTGTCCATGCAGAGCCTGGCGGCCCACAAGGGCCAGAAGCTGTGGCGCAGCAACGGCAGTCTGCACACTCTGGCCTGCCACCCACCCCTGAGCCCAGGGCCCCGGGCCAGCCAGGCACAGGCCCGTGCCCAGCTGCTGCACGCCCTCAGCCTGGACGAGGGCGGCCCCGAACCCGAGCCCAGCCTGTCTGACTCCTCCAGTGGGGGCAGCTTTAGCCGAAGTCCTGGCATGGGCCCTGGCCCCTTCAGCTCCTCCCTGGGCCACATTAACCACCTTGGGGGCTCCTTGGATCGTGCCTCTCGGAGCCCAAAGGAGGCTGGGCCACTGGCCGGGTTGAACTGCCTGCCTGAGCCCCCACCGCCCTATGAGCTCTCTTGCCACACGGCCGAGGAGGTGGTGGCCATGCTCCCCGACACCTGTGAGGATCTCAAGAGAGGCCTCAGTGACCAGGATGGCGTCAATCACTTCACACAGGTGAGGGCAGCCTCTGCCTGGGGTCCTGTTCTATCCCTGGGCAGTGGAGTACTGGGCAGTGTCCTCAGCCAGTTCCCCCACATGACTCTGGACATGAGAGGAAGAAGGAGATGCATCAGCGCCTCTCCCCCGACCCCGCGTGGTGGGATGTCGGGTTCTTGCTGGGGTTCCCTGTGCAAGAGGGAGGGAGAGACTCCCTGGGCGGGAGGGCGGGAATGTGTCGGGGACACTTCACCTCTGGAGGGCATCCCAGGGTAGGGCACGTGTGGCCAGGGCCTTGGGCCCTGGTCCTGTGGTTTTCGGGTACAGGACGTTGGCTGCGGCTATTAGGGACCTCTTTCCCTTGGCAGGTGCTGGAGGAACGCCAGCGGCTGTGGCTCTCTGAGCTGAAGCGCCTGTACCTGGAGCGGCTGCACGAGGTGGCCCAGAAGGCTGAGCGCAGCGAGCGGAACCTCCAGCTACAGCTGTTCATGGCCCAGCAGGAGCAGCGCCGCCTGCGCAAGGAGCTGCGGGCACAGCAGGGCCTGGCCGCTGAGCATCGGCCTCCAGAGGCTGACCCCAACACTCGGCCAGAGGAGGAAGCACGATGGGAGGTGAGAGACCGGGCTCTCAGGAACTCTCCTGTCCCCATTTCTGCATCCCCCTCCTCTGCCCACCCCAACCAGCCTTGCTGGGTGCTCACCCCTACTGTGCCCCTTCCAGGTGTGCCAGAAGACAGCGGAGATCAGCCTCCTGAAGCAGCAGCTGCGGGAGGCCCAGGCCGAGCTGGCGCAGAAGCTGGCCGAGATCTTCAGCCTAAAGACACAACTTCGGGGCAGCCGGGCACAAGCCCAGGCCCAGGACGCAGAGCTGGCCCGGCTGCGCGAGGCTGTGCGGAGCCTGCAGGAGCAGGCCCCCCGGGAGGAAGCCCCAGGTAGTTGTGAGACTGATGACTGCAAGAGCCGGGGGCTGCTGGGGGAGGCAGGAGGCAGTGAGGCTGGGGATGGTGCTGAGCAGCTGCGGGCTGAGCTGCTGCAGGAGCGACTCCGGGGCCAAGAGCAGGCGCTACGCTTCGAGCAGGAGCGGCGGACCTGGCAGGAGGAGAAGGAGCGGGTGCTGCGCTACCAGCGAGAGATCCAGGGGGGCTACATGGACATGTACCGCCGCAACCAGGCACTGGAACAGGAATTGCAGGCGCTGCGGGAGCCCTCCACGCCCTGGAGTCCTCGGCTTGAGTCCTCCAAGATCTGAGGCCAGTGGAGAGAGCTGACAGCAGAAGCACCGTCAGAAGAAGGCTTGGGCAAGCCCTCCCTGAGATGGCCGGCTCCTTCCTGACATTGAAATGGGGCAGAATCTGCTGAAGCCAGCCAGGGTCGGGGAGGCTCACCGAGAGGAGGGATCCCAGAGGGGCTGTGGGCTGGGTAGGGTGCCAGCAGCAGGAGTCAGGTCCAGGCCCACCTGGCTGAAAAGTACCCCTGCAGGACCCAGCCTGCTCCTGGAGTAGGTGTGGCCCTAGGAAAGGGAGACTGGGAGATGAGGCGCTCAAGATATAGATGGGCAGGCATGAGGAAGGAAGGCTGGGACAATAGCATTGGCCTACCCCAGAATAAAACCACGTTTTCTATGAGGAGGCCCTTGGTGATACGTGGGGCCTGTCCCCGGCCTGAATCAAGGATGGTTGGGGTCGGGGGGCTGTGGACCTGGGCTATAGCTCCTCCCAGAGTCCTGGTCAGTGGGAGGTTGTGCCCAGTTCCTGTGTGCACAGCTGCTGGGCACGTGTGTTGGCAAGTGGAGGAGTCATCCTCCTTACCCCAGCACCACATGGTTCCTTAGCTACCGTGTGGGCTGAAATTCCTTTCTTCAGCACCAGTGGGATTTTTCAGAAGGAACAATGCCAGGGAACCCAGGAAAACAAAAGGGCAAGTCACCCAAGGCGTTGCTAGAACATGAAACGTTCCCTTGGTGGAAAGTCTGAGCCCCAGTGCCCAGGCCCTGCTGGGTTTAGGGCTAGCCTAAGACGGCCTCTTCTGGAGCTCCCCAAGGCTCCTGTAGGGACCTGTCCCGCCCGGAATCCACCTCTCACCTTCCTGTCTGGCTGTGGTTCACCACCCCTCTACACAGGGATGGGGCTTTGGGAAGGTGCAGGAGACAAGTAATGGAGCAGAGAAAGCGTGTGGGTCAGTGGGTAACGGGCCTTTGCCACTGCAAAGAGAATGGACATCTCCCCATAGGCATGGAGGACCCTGTAGTATTTCCAAGCAGGGTGAGATGTGAGCTCATTTGTACTCTGAAAAGCAGCCCCTGCCTCTCAGACACCTGGCTTCCTCTCTGGGCCTTGGCTCCCTCCTGGGGGGTGGCCTGGTGCACAGACCCAGACTGGCTGTGCAGGTAGCCTCTCCCCACCCCTTGCCCTTGTAGTGAAGCTCGGCGCCCTTACAGGTGAATCATTGTGACTGCTGCCATGCATCGAGAGCTTCCCTTCTGCCAGGCACTGTTAGGCTGCCAGGGCATGGGGGCTCAGGTGTGAATCTTTCTGCCCCAGGGGAGGCAGTACACAGAGAGACTTCTCCCCTCCCAGTGTCTGTTCTGCTGGGGCAGGCACAACCTCAGAGGACTTCTCAGCAGAGATTCCCCAGTTGGCTCCCAGTGGCCGTGCCCTGCCCTCCTTGCCAAGCCTGGCAGCCACTCAGGCCCCTGCAGGTGGGGCCTGTGCATAGGGTGTGGATTGGGCTGTAGAGTGAGCCAGTGTGCCCTGCCTTTTCAGGGTGGAGAGGGGTGTGTGAACTGACTGCCAAGGGGATGGTGTGTCTGGCCCTGTGAGTGGCAGGTGTGTGTAGATGTGCTGTGGGTGGTAGGTGTGTCTGAGGGGGTGTGTTTGGGGCTCCTGGGCTGCTTCCTGCCGCTCCCTCTGCTCCATTGCTTGCCCCCTGGCTCCAGTCCCTTTAGCTAGTGGAACCTGTGACCAGGACAGACCCCTGTACCTAGCTGAGACTTATCTAGGCCCACCCCTCAGCCTGGGGAGGGAGAGGGAACACCTGGGTTAGGCATTTCAGTTCCCCATAAGCCTTAGTACCCATTTCAGACCCTCCCAAACCAAGGTTTCTGGGCCAGAGGCCCCCCACCCCCTTCAGTGCTGGCCTGAGTCTGGGCCACTCCCTCCTCAAGGCCTCGAGCAAGTCGGGCTGGGTGCCCACATGCCCCACAATGGCCAGGGTCCACTTTTCCATGTACCACCTCTGCAGAACAGCTCCTCACCCAGCAATTAGAGATCTGGGCCTGCCAGTACTGCCAGTGGGGAGTGGGTGGGCGGTACCAAAACTTGGCAGCTATGCCAGAAACCAAGACCAGGCCCAGATGCAGGGGGAGGGCCCAAGAGAGCCAAGCTGGGGTGTCTCAGAGGAAACTTGATCCTTATTAGCTCATCCCTGCCTGGTGAACCAGTTCCCAGTCCCCAAGCCAGCTTGGTGGCTCTAGGGCTCTGGGACCAGACAATTACAGGTGCCACTGTAGTGGCTTCTGCTTCAGGGCAGCTCTTCCCTCCTGCCCCTGGCAGGCCGCTTGGGACCCCTCCACCAGCAGACTAGGCCCAGGCGTCCAATTCTTCAGAGCTGTGGTGAGCCCCACCCTGGGCTCCCTACCCCTGGTCCCTCCTTTTCTCAGCTCAGTATCTGCTCCCTGGGCCCCTCAGCCTGCCACTTAAAGCCTCTGGCAGTCTAGCCCCCTGAGTCACTGAGAGTGGTGCCCCTTCTGACCACAGCAGCCCTCTGGGCCTTCCTCCTGTAGGCAAAGCCCCCTCACTGTGCTCAGATCTTGTCTCATTAAGGAAGCCTTTTTCTTTTTTTAAATATATTTTTATTGATTTCAGAGAGGGAGAGGGAGAAATAGAAACACCAATGATGAGAGAGAATCATTGAGCAGCTGCATCCTGCACGCCCCCAACTGGGGATCATGCCCTGACCAGGAATTGAACCGTGACTTGGTTCAAAGGTGGACGCTAAACCACTGAGCCACCTCGGCTGGACAGGGAAGCCTTTTCTGAAATCAGAGGGCAATGCACCTCCCTGTGCCCACAGCCCCCATATGCCTCTCCACCAGCTCTTTCTATGCTGCTGGAATTGTCCCTTCACCTCTGGACTGTGGGCCTTGCCCAGCCAGAGCTATGTCTTGTTTTTGATGTTTGTTTTGTAATATATTTTTAATTGATTTCAGAGAGGAAGGGAGAGGGAGAGAGATAGAAACATCAATGATGAGAGCGAATTATTGATTGACTGCCTCCTGCACATCTCACACTGGGTTCTGAGCCTGCAACCCGGGCATGTGCCCTAACCAGGAATCAAACCGTGACCTCCTGGTTCATAGGTCGACGCTCAACCACTGAACCATACCGGCTGGGGCTCATGTCTTGTTTTTATCCCTAGAGCTGCTCTGGCTCCAACCCCAGAAAGCGCTGGGGAGCTTTAGAGTCAAGAGGGACCAGACTTCTCCCCTGACTGACATGAGTTTGAACTGGGGGTAGGTGGGAAAGGTTCCTGCTCCTAGAGTTCATTCCCCCACGGGCATCAGATGTGAACTAGGTTTGTCAAGCTCCAGGGTGCCAGAGCTAGGTGCCATTCACTGCACAGTGATGTATTGCTGCCTCCCTCAGGGCCTCCTGGCGTGGTTCCCAGGTGAGGAAGCTGAGGTGGCCATGGCGTCTGCCTTCTTGGCCCTTTCCCCGGTGGGTGGAGGAAGGAGACAACACACATGGCCATGTAGTGCAGTGCAAATACAGCGATCAAGTCAATAGTGAAGGAGGCAGAGGGAGCATGAGGAAATTTCTCTGAGACTGGGGGGCTGGGGCTGTAGGTATTAGTGATCCTTTCTCCAAAGGCGATGCAGGCCCCACAGTGGCAATCCATCACCTTGTGGATTCAGAAAAGAAAAAGAATGTGTGGTTTCCTGCAACAAAAGTGAAATATGTCACGTGAGATGAGGTGGGAGTGCCATGGGAGTTCAGAGGAGAGCGGGCTCACTTATCACTCCAGGTGATGGAGTGGAGGTGACAAAGGTTGGCCAAACTTTGGTTAAGCTATTTTAATTTTTTTATTTTTTGAGGGAGAGGAAGTGAGAGAGAGAAACATCCACGCAATAGCACACGTTGATCGAAAAAATATCCTCTGATGAGGATTAACAACAAAAAAACCCTTGATTGGCTGCCTCCTGCACCCCCCCCCCACTCCATCCCCCCTCCCCCCCAGCTGGGAATCCATCCCAAGACTCGGGCTTGTGCCCTGACCGGCAACTGTTTGGTGCATGGATGAAACCCAACCAACAGCCAGGGTTTGTTAGGCTCTTCTGAGCTCTTTTGGACTAGGTCTGACCTTGGAAGGTGACCTTTCTTGTACAGTCCAGTTCTAGCAAGAATCCTTAGCTTAGCCAGAATTGCCCATCCTCTATACTACATCACCCTGCACATTTAATTTGGTTCCTCATCCTCCACTGGTCACTGGCCTGTCTTCCGTGAGAATCCTGTGGTCTATTTAGCCAGAATGCCCTGAGGTTTTCTCTTAGTAATTTTCTTTTCTTTTTAAAACATATATTTTTATTGATTTCAAAGAGGAAAGAAGAGGGAGAGAGAGATGGAAACATCAATGATGAGAGAGTATCATTGGCTGCCTCCTGCATGTGGCCCCATTGGGGATCAAGCCTGAAGCCCTGGCATGTGCCCTGACCCGGAATCAAACCTTGATTGATTGCTGAGAGTCTCATAGGTCGAGACTCAGCCACTACGCTACTCCAGCTGGGCTTTGTAATTTTCCACCCACTGCCCCCCAGTCTGGTCCTTGGCCATAAATTCTACTTTTCTTTGTTGTGTTTGGAGTTGAGCCCACTCTCTGTCCTCTACTACAAATCTCCATTGCTGTAGTCCTTCTTGAATAAAGACTTCCTTACCATTCTAACAAGTGTCATGCGTAAATTTTTTTCTTTCTTTTTTTCCCTTTTTTTGGTTAATCCTCGCCCGAGGATATTTTTTCCATTGACATTTTTGAGATAGTGAAAGAGAAGGAGGGGGAGAGAGAGAAAGAGAAACATGGATGTGAACGAGACATTGTTTGGTTGCAACCAAAGCATGTGCCCTTGACCGGGAATTGAACCCGTGACCACTTGGTGCTCAGGCCAGTGCTCTAACCATTGAGGCCACCGGCCAGTGCATTTCTTTTTATTTAACAGGGGCAAGCTTCTCTGAAGAGTGGAGTTGGGATTTCCTCAGGAGCAGCATGGGATAAGGGCATCTAGGACAGGCCTGGACTTGGACACAGGGAAGTGTGGGGCAGGCCTGGGGGAGGGCTCTGTCTGACATAGGAAGACTTCATTTCCTGTGACTGTGGGTGGGTCCCAACCGCAGCCAAAGGGAAGGGCCAGAACCAGGACTAGCTTTATGTGTGTGTGACCTGTGTGGTCATGTAGGGTCCCACACACTGAAGGGCCGTACACTTTGGTGCAATGCTCTACTATTCCCATCTTGAATTTAATGATGTTTGAACAAGAGGCCTCATGTTTTCATTTTGCTCTGGGGCCTGCAAATGATGTAGCCACTCCTGGCCTGAACCAAAGCCTTGCAAGGAGGGGCAGGAACCGGGAGAAGAAGCGGGGACTTGTTGGGAGCCGCCTGGAGGGTGAAAGGAAGAGACGGCCTGAGCAGGCTACTTCAGCTCCATGGGATGAGACCTGACGCTCCCAGGTTCTTCAAAGGGCAAGCAGTGGGTGCATCACGGGCTGCTGCCACCACCCACCAGCTCGCAGGGGAGGACTCGCTCTGAGGGAAGGAAGGCTGTATTTTCAGGAGAGCATTCCAGGGCTTGCCATCTAGGTCAAGAAACTTTTTTTTTTTTTTTAAGCATTTATCTAGTGTGTTCTTTGTGTATCTGTTTCTCTTCTCCCATTTTAAGGTGTAATTTACATACAGGAAAACTCATCCTTTTTAGGGTTCAGTTTTTAGAGCTTTGGCAAATGCAGGGTTGTATAACTAACCCTACAATCAACATATGAAATAGTTCCAGCATCCCCCTCCCCCCAAATTCCTCTGTGCCCCTCTGTAGTCAGCCCTTCCAGGGGTGGGCAAACTTTTTGACTCGAGGGCCACAATGGGTTCTTAAACTGGACCGGAAGGCCGGAACAAAAGCATGGATGGAGTGTTTGTGTGAACTAATATAAATTCAAAGTAAACATCATTATATAATAGGGTACGGTCTTTTTTTTTTTTTTTTTTTTTTTAGTTTTATTCATTTCAAAGGGGCCGGATCCGGCTTGCAGGCCGTAGTTTGCCCACGGCTGCCTTAACCTCTACCCGCCCACCCCGCCCCCCAACCAGTGACCTGCTTTCTTAATTGTTAGGTTAGGTGGCTCAGGAGGCGGCGCAAGAAATAGAGTCCAGTGAATCAGAAAAGAAAGGAAAGGAAAAGGTTTATTCTGCGTCCCCGGGAGACCCACGTACCCCAAGGACAGGGCACGTGGATTCACGCCAACAGGGAGGGGGGCGCTTTTTTTATACTGCGGTTGGGTGAGGGGCGGGGACATGAGCTGAGGAATTCTCTGCTGCAGGGAATGGGTGGAATATTCAGGATGAAGTTCTTATCTGTGTGGGGGTATGTGAATTCAGGGAGAAGAAGCTGGTATCTGTGTCTGGCACCTTGATCTGTGAGAAATTCCAGGGGAAGTCCATTATCTTGTCATGTCTGCATGTATCCGATCCTGGGCTCTCTCCGACCTAACATTAATTACCTTGTGTTTCTTTCCCCCCACTTTTTGTGAGCCTTATTTAATCCCACCACATATTAAGAACATATTACAAAGTAGCAAGTAAAACAATATGACATTGATGTAAAAATAAAACCGCTTCAATGGAAAGAATGAAGAGCCAGAAATAGATTCCATATTGCAGAAAATTCTAATAGGATGACGGGCTTCAACATGAGAAGGTAAGAAGGATTATTCAGTAAGAGGTGCTGTGGTAACTGGACAAAAATGTGGGAAAACGCCAGACGTTGCACCTCCACGTGCAAACTGAAATGGACATGTAAAGTGGGGAGGAGGCCTGGAGGGCTGTACCAAAGAGTTGAACTTTTAAAAACAAATCCTAGGAAACCAGCAAAAGGTTAAACTATTATTGAATTGGTGGAGAACAGCTGTTTTTCTGCTCTGAAGCAGCCCCTTCTCCCAACAAAAACAAACACAATCCCAACGGGTACAATTGACAAAATCAACTATGTAATAAACTTTGGTGCACGCTGTAAAGTGACGCAAGGAGAACCACATCCTGGGGAAGCAATGACAAAGGGGAAACTGCCTGAGGTGGCAGCCTGGCATTCAAAGTCCTCAAAGAAGCCGGGCTTTGCTCAGACCTAGCCTAGCTGGCAGGTCCAGTCTGGCTCCCGGGAGGAAGTGGGAAGGCCTGGGGCGCTCTGGGAAACCGGTGGGGTCCAGTTGGCTCCGCGGCGGAGGCGGAGGCGGCCTGGGCCTCAGCGGGTGGCCCCAGGCTAGGTTCACTCAACTCTCCGCCCCCAAGCTCGCGTGGGCCAGGACCACCCAGGCTTGGTGTGCACAGGCCGGGCTCTCCAGAGGTGGGGCTCTGGACTGCCCCTTCTCCGCGTGTTGCAGGAGGTTTTGGAGCCATTAGGATATTAGGTACCTCAGTATTCCTGAGCATTTAAGGTGTCCCAAGTACATGGTGTTGAGGATACAGCAGTACTGAGTACAAAGTCCTGGTCCAAACGGAGCTTTTATTCTTAAGGGGAGGTGTGTTAGGGGCCGGAAGACAGAATAAACAAACACACAAGATAATTTTAAGTCAAATGCTATTTAAAAAAAAAGTGGTTTGTGCAAGTGCTATACAGAAAACAAGATTAAGCAAGGGTGCTTGGGGGTGAAGGCTGGGGAGAAGGCCTGGAGGGTTGAAGGGGGAGGTTGCCCTGGAATGAGACTGACACGGAGAGGGAGCAGAAAGTCAGGAAAACCAAAACCGAGACCAAGTCCTGTCTCTTGGGCGGGTTTTTTTCCCTTTTTTCTTTAATTGATTTCAGAGAGAGGACAAAGAAACAATGATGAAAAAGAGGCATTGATTGGCTGCTTCCTCCACGCCCCCTCCTGGGGACGGAGCCTGCAACCCAGGGGTGTGCCCTGACCGGGAACCCAACCGTGACCTCCTGGTTCACAGGTCGCCGCTCCCGGCGGAGCCACACCGGCCGGGCTGGGCTCGTTTCCGGTTCCCGTCTCCAAGGCTTGTGGACAGGAGCGGGCCTCCTCCGCCCTGCCCCTGAGAGCAGCCCCCTGCTCTGGGCGGAGTGTGAATTCAGACCCGGCCTGGGTTTGGGGTCACCCTTCCTCTTCAGGACAGTTGTGCAACCCGGTCTCCCCCCGTTCGCCCAGGAGGGGCGACCGATGGGCGGGGGGGCAGAGCAGGGACTGGGTACCCTCACCCCAGCAGTCTAATCCTCTTGAATGCCCAATGAGTAGGTTAAGTCCTGACTTAGGGACAGAAAAAAAGTGACTTTTTTAAAAAACATCATTTGATGTGTCAAAAAGAGCACCAAGGAGCCATCGCGGGAGAGCCTGTCGGACCCTGGCCGAGGGGTGGTCTCCTTTGAGTGAGGGCAGAAGGCGGGGGCGGAGTTGAACAGTTATCGGTTTAGGGCTTCAGAGCGCGAAGCGGGGCGCTGGGACCGAGTTGTGGGGGGCGGTCGGGCGGGCTAGGCGCTTCTTCCCGGTAGGGAAGCCGCCCCGCCAGCCATGCACCCCCAAGCCTCCCGGGCCAGCGAGCGGGTGGGTCCGATCCCTTCCCGCCGACGCGGAGGGTCGAGGTCCAGCTGCAGCCCCGGGCGCTGGGGGCTCCGGCGTCGCCCGGGCTGCAGGGGGTGCGGCTTCCCGCCTCCACTGGTCTCTGTGGGCGACTCCACTCTGGGCGCGCGGGAGGGTGAGGCTCGGCGCCCAGGCGGAGAGGCGCGGCCCTGCGGGACGGCCACCCCTCCGCGAAGCTGCGAGTGGGCGAGCCCGGATCCGCGGAGCAACCGCCGCGGCTTCCGGTCCGATGACAGCGGCGCCGGAAGCCGGGGCCGGGGCTGCAGCAGCAGGTGAGAGCCGCGGTGTCCGGGCCTGGAGGTGCGGGCTGCGGGCAGCGCGGAGGGGCCGGCGGACGGCAGCTCGGCCGGGCTCCCAGGCCTCGGGCCTCCCCCGAAACCCCCCGACTAAGTCTCCGCCGCAGTCCGCCCTTGGACTTGTTTGCTCCGTGTCGTGGGCCCCGGCCCAGAACTGGAGCCCCGCAGGCTCCCAGGACACGCGAGGAACCGCTTCTGTCGGGGGAATCGCTCGAACTCAGACGTCCCGCCCTAGTGCGACGGGCTGGGGCCCGCTGGGCTGAGGGGCCAGGCAGGGCATTAGGTCAGGGTCTTGTGGAGCATGAGTAAGAGTCTGACAGTCATTTGCGTTAACGCAGGTGAAACTCCCAGCAGGGGCTGTATTCCAGGGAAAATAGTGGGCCTTTTCGCCCCCTCAGTTTTGGTTAATGACAAAAGAAAGATGGAAACTTCAACCAGCCCTAGCGGGTTTGGCTCAGGGATGGAGCGTCGGGCTGCGGACTGAAGGGTTCCAGGTTCCTTCCCCAGTCCGTGCACATGCCCGGGTTGCGGGCTCGATCCCCAGTAGGGGGCGTGCAGGAGGCAGCCGACCAATGATTCTCTCTCATCACTGGTGTTTCTCTCTCTCTCTCCCTTCCTCTCTGAAATAAAATAAAAAATGTATATTAAAAAAAAAAGAAACTTCAACTAGAGATCTGTAAGGAAGAAAAGGAACAGGGTGAGATGATAGAGTGGATGGGTGGGGGTGGGGCAGAGGGGTACTGGGTCTAGGAGACCATCTCTGAAGGGATGAAGTTTGAGACTTCAAGGAGCCAAACAGGGAACAGATT